CGTGTGTGTGTGTGTGTGTGTGTGTGTGTGTGTGTGTGTATGTGTCCTCCATGCGTCCGTGTTCGCGTCCGCGTGTGTCTCCTCCTGTTTGCGTGTCGTGTACGTGTACGTGTCGTGTTCTTGCGCGGAACGGTCGCTCCGCACCGCTCGGCTTCCGAGGAAGAGATTTCGCGAGCGGAAACGAAGGTCGAATCGCGACGTTGCTCCGTAGCGTTTCCGCCCGCGAACCCGTCTACGCTGCGAGGGAAGCGAAAAACAGGCGGTGGCGGCGGCGGCGGCGTTCGCGCAATCGTTTGCCGCGTTCTCTATTATCGTTACTATTTGGTTATTCCCGACGCTTGTTCCGTCGATCGAAGGATCTTTTTCTCGAGCCCCCTCGATCCCCCTCGAGCCTCGAAATTCTCCCGGAGGTCTCTCGAGATCCGACGATCCCGCGGCCGCGGCTATATATACCTACGACTAATTCGACAAGCAGCCATCTGCGCGCGTTCGAAACAAAATGCCTACCGACACACCGGCCAGAATATCGCCTGCTCGAGCATGTATGTACAGTTTGCGTTTTTTCTCGCGAAGAGGAAGCTTCCTCGGGCCAGCGGCCGAAAGATCGCGGATCCGATCGAGGAATCGGCTTCGATCGCGGGCTTTTCCGTGCTTTTCCGTGCGCGCGCGCACCGCTGCGACGTTCGACTTAATTTTACTTCGATGCCCTAACGTCGTGGAACATCCCTTATTTTTAGTATCGCTTCGCCACCCCTTCCCGCTCTCGTAATTCGAGGAAAGAAAAGATTTTTGGGGCTCGGCGCGCGTCGTTCTCGAGATCCCGCGCGAAGCGGACTCGTCTTCCGCGAGGCCTTTCTCCTCGTCCGGAAGTGTGCGTTCGCGAGAAACATAGACAGAGATAGCTAGAGAGAGGGAGAGAGAGAGAGAGAGAGAGACAGAGATAGAGAGATTAGAGACGGTAAGAAGAGAAAAGACGCTTTCGGCGACGAGTCCGCGACGAGGATCTCGAGCGTACGCCTCTTCCCCGCCTAGTACGCTAGGATATGTTGCTCGTTAGATGTGTCGTTACGTTTAGTCATTGTATTTTTCCTCGTCTAGATCCGCTTCCGTTTCTTCTTCTTTATTTTTCTTAATTGTATCTTAATTCTTCTTTTTTTTTTTTGTCGTTTAAATCCCTTTTACTGCCTCATAATCATTAATTGTATTATTATATCAATAATATTTATATATGTATAACGTGTTACGGTGCGTATCATCGTATCATCTCTTGGTTTATTTTACACTGCGATTATTCCCGCTAGAGCTGCTCGGAATCGGGCGTACGGTGGAACCAAGATGGATGGGGGATGGGAACCGAGGAGGAGTACGCGTTCTTCTTGCTCCCCTGGGGCGTTCTTGTACGGGGTCCCGTCGAAGCGGTCGTCGACCATTTTTTGGTACCTCGTCGACCAACGATTCGATAATCGCGACGAATAGTTTTTTTTTTTGAACGATTCGAAACAAGATCCCGATGGATCGGGAACAACTGTTCTAAGAGTATTATCGGGGCTCTATGGGAGGAGTCGAGTATTATTTCGGCAAATTAAGAAACCGTAGTATTTTCGTCGGCGCATCTAGCGTTACAAACTCGGGCTCCGAGATTCTACTTTTGTCAACGCGCGCGGTTACATTATTCTTCCGTACGCGGATTCGTTAGAGTATAAGAGGACTAAGATCGGCGTTCCTAGCGTCGAGACAACTTCCGGGGACGGATGCTACCCTAATCCGTCCGCCCCCGGCTAGACCTAATCCGCGGGGCCATTTTTTATACAGCAATTCGATTGGTTACATATTCCGATATTCCTCTGCTCGGAAAGAGCACGGGGCGTGAATCGGGGGGTGAACGCGCGGCGCGCGCCATTATCGGTGGTTTCTTTTCGAAAGAGAACGTCGTAGAGCTCGCGTTTTAATTCTTCTTACTTTCGAAACGTCTCGAGAAACCTAACGGAGAAATTTGAGAAAAGCTTTATATCGCTTTTAGTAGTTGAATATTTTACGCTTTCGACGCAAGTTTACGCATCGACGCGTAAAGCGTTCTCGGCAGCGGCAAATACGCGATTCTTTAAAATATAATTATCGTTCGCTTCGTCGCGACGAGCGAACCGATTTACTTTCGAAAAGATCCACGCGGCGGAGCGTTCGTCCCCGGAGCGTTCAACCCCGCGTACAAACTGAACTATCGTTAAATTACGATTCGAATAATCTTTACAGAAACGGTTATACGTTCTAAAATTCGAGACTCGGTGGCCGAGGCCGCTTCGACGTACAGTTTTGTTATCGGCAATTTAGCGAGGTCGCGAGGGCATCTCCCTTGTAACGCGGCGACGCGACCTTCGAATCGCGAAGGAAAGAAACAGGAAAAAGGGTAGCAGCCGGGAGAGCCACGAGAGCCGGGAATCCATCGACGATACGTAATATCGAGGTGTGCGATAGGCCTGCGTGATAAAAATACGGCCGACGAAGAACAAGAAGAAGGATCGGCTGGTGACGTACGGGGGGTGGGTGGTATTTTCATGGGGGATTTTCGAGGGAGTTGTGCACTCGTGACGAAGAATAAGACGCGAAGACGATTGGGTCTCGCCTAGAATTTGAGCTTTACCTTACGCTAGCCACTAGTATAGTAATAGCCTACCGATAAAGGTATCGATTACGAGTAAGTATAAATTGTAATTACAGTGTACAATATACAGGGATAGAACGTGTCTCGCGGTCGGGCCACCCGGCCTGCCACGCGTCCCTCCGGAGAACGGACGATCGTCCGATATCTCCCCTAAACGTCGATCGTTTCTCGAGCGTATCCGGATCTTCGAGAGACTCGCGAGCAACGATTACGAACGTCCCTGTTTCGCCGAGGAACGGCCGTGGCAGGTCCGTAAGGAAACGGCCAATCTTTCGAGAAAGCGAACCATTTCTGGCCATTTCCGACCATTCCCGACCATTCCCGACCGTTTCCTTCCCGGACCGGGGCCTCGCGACTACACTCTCGGTTCTCGTATCACTAGCATTTACCAATTTGTAGTCTCATTTAAAATCTACGCTCGTTAATTCAACGTTTACAAGGATCATGTGTGAGTACGCGGTGTATCTTTTACTTCGGAGTTCTGCTCGAAAGTCGATAGTTTCTCCCCAAAACTTGCGCGCCGGATGCGCCGAATTTCCCCGGTGATTCTTCTTCTTCTAGTCTTCGTAGCGTATTCTTTTTTTTCTTCGGCTACTTATTCCTCCTTCTCTTCTTCTCCTCCTCCTCCTCCTCCTCCTCCTCCTCCTCCTCCTCCTCCTCCTCCTCCTCCTCCTCCTCCTCCTCCTCCTCCTCCTCCTCCTCCTCCTCCTCCTCCTCCTCCTCCTCCTCCTCCTCCTCCTCCTCCTCCTCCTCCTCCTCCTCCTCCTCCTCCTCCTCCTCCTCCTCCTCCTCCTCCTCCTCCTCCTCCTCCTCCTCCTCCTCCTCCTCCTCCTCCTCCTCCTCCTCCTCCTCCTCCTCCTCCTCCTCCTCCTCCTCCTCCTCCTCCTCCTCCTCCTCCTCCTCCTCCTCCTCCTCCTCCTCCTCCTCCTCCTCCTCCTCCTCCTCCTCCTCCTCCTCCTCCTCCTCCTCCTCCTCCTCCTCCTCCTCCTCCTCCTCCTCCTCCTCCTCCTCCTCCTCCTCCTCCTCCTCCTCCTCCTCCTCCTCCTCCTCCTCCTCCTCCTCCTCCTCCTCCTCCTCCTCCTCCTCCTCCTCCTCCTCCTCCTCCTCCTCCTCCTCCTCCTCCTCCTCCTCCTCCTCCTCCTCCTCCTCCTCCTCCTCCTCCTCCTCCTCCTCCTCCTCCTCCTCCTCCTCCTCCTCCTCCTCCTCCTCCTCCTCCTCCTCCTCCTCCTCCTCCTCCTCCTCCTCCTCCTCCTCCTCCTCCTCCTCCTCCTCCTCCTCCTCCTCCTCCTCCTCCTCCTCCTCCTCCTCCTCCTCCTCCTCCTCCTCCTCCTCCTCCTCCTCCTCCTCCTCCTCCTCCTCCTCCTCCTCCTCCTCCTCCTCCTCCTCCTCCTCCTCCTCCTCCTCCTCCTCCTCCTCCTCCTCCTCCTCCTCCTCCTCCTCCTCCTCCTCCTCCTCCTCCTCCTCCTCCTCCTCCTCCTCCTCCTCCTCCTCCTCCTCCTCCTCCTCCTCCTCCTCCTCCTCCTCCTCCTCCTCCTCCTCCTCCTCCTCCTCCTCCTCCTCCTCCTCCTCCTCCTCCTCCTCCTCCTCCTCCTCCTCCTCCTCCTCCTCCTCCTCCTCCTCCTCCTCCTCCTCCTCCTCCTCCTCCTCCTCCTCCTCCTCCTCCTCCTCCTCCTCCTCCTCCTCCTCCTCCTCCTCCTCCTCCTCCTCCTCCTCCTCCTCCTCCTCCTCCTCCTCCTCCTCCTCCTCCTCCTCCTCCTCCTCCTCCTCCTCCTCCTCCTCCTCCTCCTCCTCCTCCTCCTCCTCCTCCTCCTCCTCCTCCTCCTCCTCCTCCTCCTCCTCCTCCTCCTCCTCCTCCTCCTCCTCCTCCTCCTCCTCCTCCTCCTCCTCCTCCTCCTCCTCCTCCTCCTCCTCCTCCTCCTCCTCCTCCTCCTCCTCCTCCTCCTCCTCCTCCTCCTCCTCCTCCTCCTCCTCCTCCTCCTCCTCCTCCTCCTCCTCCTCCTCCTCCTCCTCCTCCTCCTCCTCCTCCTCCTCCTCCTCCTCCTCCTCCTCCTCCTCCTCCTCCTCCTCCTCCTCCTCCTCCTCCTCCTCCTCCTCCTCCTCCTCCTCCTCCTCCTCCTCCTCCTCCTCCTCCTCCTCCTCCTCCTCCTCCTCCTCCTCCTCCTCCTCCTCCTCCTCCTCCTCCTCCTCCTCCTCCTCCTCCTCCTCCTCCTCCTCCTCCTCCTCCTCCTCCTCCTCCTCCTCCTCCTCCTCCTCCTCCTCCTCCTCCTCCTCCTCCTCCTCCTCCTCCTCCTCCTCCTCCTCCTCCTCCTCCTCCTCCTCCTTCTTCTTTGTGCTCAACGATCCGATCTTAGTCGACACGGTCGTGCCTCTAATTTCTTTTTCTTTGTCGTATTTACACGTACCGATAACGTTCGCGACACGAAAGATAGACAACGAGAGTATGGTTTGTAACTTTTGTTCGATCACGGCCATGTCCCTCGACGAGAAGAACGACCCCCGCCTACGTAGCCTACAGCCTAGATTACCTATCGCCTATCGATCGATTAGATTCGAGAGAAACGTAAATATAAAACGTAGCCGACGGCAGAACTACCCGACGCGCTCTCCTCTATGTAGAAAATAAACGCGAACAAACGAATGATCGAAGGGACAGAGATAAAAAACAAAATAGAGCGGGGAAAGACGGAAAAACGGTCGTATCGGACAGAGATGCGGTTAGAGAGATATAGTGGAGCGTGAGAGGGGGGAGGGGAGGGCGAGGAAGGAAAAGAGAGACAGAAAATGAAAAAGGAAAAAGAACGTCTTTGTCATATTTGGCTATTTCACATGACTCTGCGTAGTTTTGTAATATATCCCCCTTTACTTGTCTCGTTTCGTTCTATATTTGCACGCGCGCGATTTGTTGCTTCCTTTTCTCTCTCGCCTAACTTTCTTTTCTGCCGTACTATTCGTTCATTCGGACATCACTCGCAACGTTGCCCATTTACGCTTTTACATCGAGTCACGCAACACGGCTTACCTACATATACATGAATATATATATGTATATATATATATATATATATATATATGTGTGTGTATGAATATGTATATATATATATACACACATATTTATTCATTTATTTATTTATTTACTCATTTATTTATTTTTATTACGATAAATCTCCACTTAACTAGAATTTAACAGGGATTATATCACACTCACTCGGCTCAGTGTGCGTACCATTTCCCTCTCGCGTTTTGCCCCCGCAAAGGAGTACTCTATGCGTGTGTAAATCTGTCTATGTATGTATTTGTTTGCATGTCTGACAGTTTGTATGTATACACGTGTGTGTGTGTGCGTTTGCGCGCGTACGTGTAAGGTTCGTCTTCGATTCGATCGATAAGAATGCGTTGATGGGGAATATCGGTGTTCGAGAACGCGGTTGCCGAATCGAGGAACTCGATCGAAGTCTCGGCGGTGAGAAGCTATCTTTCGGAGCTCGACACCTTAACGCGAGAACCGAGTGCGATGGAAGAACAAGGCGTGAACAACAAATGAAACGTCGAGATTAATGATTCGTTACTCGGGGGAACATAGAGAGACTATTTGATCGCTTCTCGACTCGCGTCGGATTCCCATCGCTGAACTGATCGCGACAGGACAGGGTTAAACTAACGCGGTGGTGGGCTGCCAATGATTGTTAAACGATTTCAAAATGATTTCGAAACGATATCAGAATGATTCTAAAACGATTCCTCTCTCGAGTCGACGAACACGCTCGCCCTCGCGTTCGTTCCAAAGATTCTGCAAAATCGAGACGCGTTTGTGGCTCGCGAAGATCCAAAAGAAGGAACAAGACGATCGGTGCTGATACGACAATTTCGTTGAATTTCGAATCGTGCGATCGTCGACGGAGGAACGAAAATTTGCTTTCGTTGGCAAACGAAAGGTAGGTAAACGATGATCGATAAAATCTACCAACGAGAATTTGATTCGCTTTACTCGTAAGGCGATTAACGCGACGGCGAGCGTGTCAAATGCTTTAGCTATCGGAAGTCGCTCACGGGACTTTCGAACGAGAAGGAGTTCGACGCTCGTGCGTCAACACCCGAGCACCCGAGCACCCGAGCAGGTACTTTCGATATATGCTTGAAATTTTTTGTACATTTTCGTTGGAGAATAACACGAAATCGATAAAAATATGAAATTATTAAACGAAGTTGCTATCGAACGATCGATTGGAAAATCCTCCTCGCCGGTAGCTAAAGCCGACGTTGAAGATCAACGCGGCGAAGAATCGGGGGAGCGGTCGAGGTTGAAACGGTCGAATCTTTCCACCAACGTCGTTTTCAGTTCTTCCGACAAAGAGCGACGAGATAAGAGAGCTGGAGCGTCTCGTTCGGTCTCCGACGCGTCCGTTCGCTCGCGGAGCCCTCGACGAAGCGAATCGTCGAGGTCCGTGGAGCAGCGACGGCCGGTCGCGATCTCGAACGAGACAGCGAGTATTCGAGGGAAAAAAAAATAAAAGGTTCGGTTAGTAGTCTCGGAAGTCGGTAGAGATTGCTTTCCGTTTTGACTAGACCCTGTTCGGAGCAGAATCAACGGCGTTCCAAAGACGATTTTCTATTCCATCGTTCACCCGGTATTTGGCATAGAAAAACCCTGTCGCGATAGGACCGTTGCTCCACCGCTTTCCTCCGTTCTCTCGCGTTCTCCGTTCGCTACCGCCGAGCCAGAGCGCTACCTCGAAACGATCTCGACTCGATGGTCTTCGATTTTCGGATCACCGACCGACAGCCATTACCGCGGCAGAATCTCGAAAGGCGACGAAACGATGGAAAATGCGAAAAGGACAAAAAAAGAATCATAAAATGCTACCGATCCGAATCTACGAAAGAAAACCACCCGGAAAACGAATTATGTACAAAATTCATTGGTCGCCGTTTTTTCCGACGATAGAATCGAAAAAAACGAGAGTATCTATCGTACAATTACAATAAAAGATAAAAATCGCCGTTAAAAAGCCGGCTATTAAAACAAACTTGGCTCGCGCGATTGCAACCGATTTCCAGAGAGACGCGTATGTACACGCGCGCGTCGGCGCATCGGCCTCGTGCACGAATGGCTATCGGTTTCGGACCCGCGACGCGTTCCAGATACTTTCCGCCTATTTTCCGACGATCCGCGTTTTCCCTAACCCTTTCCCTTTCCTTTTCCCGTCCGGTAATTCGGTTCGCCGATTTTCCCGATGCCGGTGCCGGTGCCGGTGCCTCCGTCGGCCGGTTATCGATCGGAGAAGGTTCGACGCGACGGACCTTCGTCCTCGGATCGAACCGGAGCAAACTCGCGAAGGCTCGTCTCCGGCCTCCGTTTACCTCGAATTTTTCATCCGATATTTTCGGCTTCCGGCTTCCTTCTTCGGTTCTCGGATCGGCGACGCGGCGTCGGTTGCATCGGTTTCGCGATCGTCGGGGACTCGCGGGAATTCGCGTTTTCAAAAAAAATCGAAACGAGGCGCGTCCGTTCGCTTCTCTGCTCGATCGATATATAGGCGACCGTCCTCCTTCGTCGTCGACGAGAGAGTTCTAGAAACTCGGTCCTAAGAGGCTTCAGCGTCAGCGTGCACGGAGGATCCAGGCGTATTCGCTTCGTGGGGGTGATTTACGTGATCGGTGGCGAACGACGATGACGATTGTGTCGATTTCTGGTCATGTTGTGGCTGAGTATAACGGTGTGTGTACTTGGAAGGCTCGCGCTTCGCCGTGGCCACGGCTTCTTAGTACGGCGTGAACCTGTTGTAGCTGCCCCTGTACACCGTCGCCTGCGAACACCAGAAATTCCAACGATTTTCACGCGTTTCTCGACTCGACGCGTCCTTCTCGAACGACGGTCGATCATTTTGGAAGATCTTTAACGCGAAGATTCTGCGAAGAATTCAACGGATCTTCGCGTCGAAGAAGATTTCGTCTCAAATAATCGTGCGATTAAAAGTTTACCCCATAGCCGGCCACTGGTCCGATACCGTGTCCAAGGTAGGGGTCGGCGTACTCGCGTCCGTAGCTGGAAGATGAAGGCGACAGAGCATTAAAATTCGTTCGGCGGATCGATCGAACGATAAAATGTGTTAAATAAGGAAAAGTGTTTTGAGAGGACGAACGAGAGGAGATACGAACGCAAGAGGTATCTCTAAGGATTTTCGACGGGACTATCGGTGCTTTCGGTAGGAGTATCGTGTTTGACCAGAGTCTCCAAGAATCTGCGACTTCTCAAAGGACGTCCTCGACGTTGGGGTCTGGAAGGACAATTCTGCTTGTGTACATCGTTTTTAACACGGTCTCCGCGGATAAGATCCGCCGGTACTTTGGTAGTTCGCGAGACGGTACTTTGCGGGAGCAAAACTTTCGGAGCGACCAGCCGCGCGTGGATAGAAAAACAAGATCGAAGGATCGCCGCGGTCTCCAAAAAAGGGAACCTCTACGCTCTACTCTCTACGGTCTACGGTCTACGGTCTACGGTCTACGGGGTCTACGGTCTACAGCGTAGCACCCTCGAGAGAATCAATTTATTCGATTACCCTAACGCGTTCGTTCCCCGATCGGGAAACGCATCCCCCGACCGCAGACCGATCCCTCGATCGCGAGTGCTCGAGCACGAGCAGCCAGACAAGGGCTAAAGAGCGGCTGGTCACGGGTCGAAATTAAACCGAGGCGGCGGTGGGAGGCGATGGGTAGGCTAGGCGAGCGTCCAATGGATTCTTGACCAAAGTACCGTCAACAAGTGGAAAGTTGGCGGATGTCTGGGCTCGCGAATGTGTTAATACGTGTCGGGGCGTCGAGGGTGGTCCGGGACCGTGAAGGGGTTGAAACGGGAGGACGAATGGGAGTCGGGGGTTCGGCTGGCAAACGTCGTCGTAGGCCACCGGCCACGGGCTCGGGGCTGCCAGTGTGCCAGTGTGCCAGTGTGCAACCGTAAAAGCGTGCGAGCGTAAAAGTGTGCGTTCGCTTACCCCGCGACTGCGGCATATCCTGCGACCGGTTGTGCCGCAGCTGCAGCTGCGCCGTATGCGCGCGCAGCCACTGCCGTGTAGGTCGCCGCAGCTGCGTAGGTGGCCTGCTGCGCCGTCGAGAGGGGCGTCTTCAGCAACGGTGACGCTGCAGCTGCTGCTGCCGCGGCCTGAAACAAGAACCATGACCCGCCATGCAAGGCTCGAGCAAGCTCCAAGACCGGAAGAAGGTGGTGTCCTAGCGGAGAAACGGCGCCGACGCGTCCCCTCGGGCTCGGCAAGGTCGCGCCGCAAGGTCGCTGCGAGCTCTCCGCAAGGTCTCGATCTCTCCGCGAGCGGTCCCCGACTCGGAGGAGTCGGGGCTCGGGTGCTCGCGACCCTTTGCTCGCTGCAGACTCCGCGCGAGGACCTTGTCGAGCGCGGTTTCGCGTCGTCGACGAATCAGCGACCGCCGCGATCGACGGAAACGTCCGATCTTACCCCTCCGAATCGCTGGTTCGACGACGCGCGACGCGGTCGAGTAATTCGAGCACCGTTCTAAAAATGTGCGATTCTCGAAGCTACGGCTTTCCGTCTCGGTCAAAGCTTCGGGAGGAATGGCTTATGTACAGGGAGCGACGCGGAAAATGATCGCGTCGTTTGCTCGGCGAAATCGATTCGACGGGATACGACGCGACGCGTCGCGCGACACCTTCCCCCGCGCCGTTCGTGATTGTATCGGGATTCGCCGAAAAAATTCGCTCGATCGACTTTGTCGTCGACGATTCGAGAGGCGGGCGGTGTTCGGAAACAAGAGAGAAATGGAACGTTTCGTTCTTCGCTTCGCGAAATAACGTTCGCGCTGTTCGCGATAGTTTCTTAGAGGGTGGGGGTGGGGGGAGCTTCGTTGCACACAGCCCGATAAAGATACGTCGCATTGTTTGCTCGGAAAACGCGGGATTTTGGCGAAGAGAACGATTTTCGCGTTTCGCGTTTCGCGTCGCTTCGGCGCGGCGGTGGAAGATTTTCAATTTACAGCGATACCTAGTTCGAGTTATACCACCTCGTGGAAATTGTACGTACAACACGTCGGCGTAATTTGTGAGATGGAATCGAAATCGCAGAATCAAAGTTCGAACGTTGACGCGAGTAGGTGTCTCGCGGAGCTATCGAAGGTTGAATTCGATGCGTCGGGCAGCATTTGATCGGCGAGAAGATCGAGCGGTCGTTAACGCGGAAATCGTTTCGTGGGTAGGTCGACGAGCGGTTTCGCAAGAGTCTTTGAAATACCATTCCGGAAGAGCCCGCACACAGGGGTCCACGATCAGCTTTGGACGCTCGGAGATTATCGTTTGACCTATCGAAGCTGCCGTTGCCGAGAAAGAGAGAGAGAGAGAGAGAGAGCCGCACCGGAATTAAATCCCGCTCTTACTTTCGTCCCGTTTTATGAGACGGCTTCTCGTCCCGGGACGGTAATCCCGAAATTACATTACTCTCGTGGACGACCAAAGAAAGCCAGAGCTTCCCAGGGCTCTCTCTCTCTCTCTCATTCTTTCGACCATTTGTTCGTTCCATGGGATCGTCGAGCGTCGAGCGTCGAGCGTCGTTGCCGTCGCCGACGAAAAGTGCGATCCGGTTCTCGCGTGGCTAGCAGATTAGAATATTTTAATTGGACGTAGGGAAGAGACTGTTATCCGGTCGAATGCCGTATGGCGCGCCTCTACACGGGACGTTTTAATTAAACTCTTCGGGATAACGAGGCCGGGCACGACCGACGAAAGGATGCGTAGCCGCGCGAACGCGAAACCGAACGGCTGAGAATATTTTAATTGGAAATAGGAAGTCGTCGGGTTCGAGCCCGACGATGAATAGAATTCCGTCGCGAGCGCGAGCCTCTAATTAAATCGGCCTGCTAAGTTCCCTCTCCGGGATCGGTAATGGCCCGGCGAACGCGTTACCGGACGTCGGACGTCGGACGTCGCGCGCGCCAAACGCGACGCATCGTCTTCGAGGAGCAACGGCTCCGCCTCGGCCCGGAACAAATGCGCGTTTCTCACGGACCGGGTGATTAATGATTCGTTCGCGGGGGACACGGTTTCTTCGGCCGGCGCGGCCGCAGCCTATTAAGCGGAGTTCTCGTAAATCACGCGACTCCTCGCGTTTACCCCGAGTCGCAAAAAAATCGGCCGCCAAAAATAAGTCCAGCGACGATTTCCCGAGGCAAATTTAGTGCTGCATTTTTCCGCGAACGATTCGAAATCGCGCTCGAACGGCGTCTTTTGTAGCGACGCGGAACTTTCGATAATAATTCGCGACGTCGCGCCACCCCCCGTCGCCGTCGTCGTCGTCGTCGTCGTCGTCGTCGAGTAACGAAGAGGCGAGGAGGATCGCGAAAACACCGGTTCGATGGCGCCAGAAAGTTTGCCGCGACGGTTGTTGTTCCGGTGGCCGATCGGGCAAAGTCGGCAAAGAAATCGCGGAAAAACGGGGGACGGAGTTTCTGGGTCGCGTGCCGGGCTGATCTCCGAGACGAAGGACTCGCGCGTTCTCGCGATTTTCGCCGGATGTTTCGCGAGGGAATCTGGGTCGAGCGANCCGCACCGGAATTAAATCCCGCTCTTACTTTCGTCCCGTTTTATGAGACGGCTTCTCGTCCCGGGACGGTAATCCCGAAATTACATTACTCTCGTGGACGACCAAAGAAAGCCAGAGCTTCCCAGGGCTCTCTCTCTCTCTCTCATTCTTTCGACCATTTGTTCGTTCCATGGGATCGTCGAGCGTCGAGCGTCGAGCGTCGTTGCCGTCGCCGACGAAAAGTGCGATCCGGTTCTCGCGTGGCTAGCAGATTAGAATATTTTAATTGGACGTAGGGAAGAGACTGTTATCCGGTCGAATGCCGTATGGCGCGCCTCTACACGGGACGTTTTAATTAAACTCTTCGGGATAACGAGGCCGGGCACGACCGACGAAAGGATGCGTAGCCGCGCGAACGCGAAACCGAACGGCTGAGAATATTTTAATTGGAAATAGGAAGTCGTCGGGTTCGAGCCCGACGATGAATAGAATTCCGTCGCGAGCGCGAGCCTCTAATTAAATCGGCCTGCTAAGTTCCCTCTCCGGGATCGGTAATGGCCCGGCGAACGCGTTACCGGACGTCGGACGTCGGACGTCGCGCGCGCCAAACGCGACGCATCGTCTTCGAGGAGCAACGGCTCCGCCTCGGCCCGGAACAAATGCGCGTTTCTCACGGACCGGGTGATTAATGATTCGTTCGCGGGGGACACGGTTTCTTCGGCCGGCGCGGCCGCAGCCTATTAAGCGGAGTTCTCGTAAATCACGCGACTCCTCGCGTTTACCCCGAGTCGCAAAAAAATCGGCCGCCAAAAATAAGTCCAGCGACGATTTCCCGAGGCAAATTTAGTGCTGCATTTTTCCGCGAACGATTCGAAATCGCGCTCGAACGGCGTCTTTTGTAGCGACGCGGAACTTTCGATAATAATTCGCGACGTCGCGCCACCCCCCGTCGCCGTCGTCGTCGTCGTCGTCGTCGTCGTCGAGTAACGAAGAGGCGAGGAGGATCGCGAAAACACCGGTTCGATGGCGCCAGAAAGTTTGCCGCGACGGTTGTTGTTCCGGTGGCCGATCGGGCAAAGTCGGCAAAGAAATCGCGGAAAAACGGGGGACGGAGTTTCTGGGTCGCGTGCCGGGCTGATCTCCGAGACGAAGGACTCGCGCGTTCTCGCGATTTTCGCCGGATGTTTCGCGAGGGAATCTGGGTCGAGCGAGTCTCCCTCTAGAGCGTCGACCGCGTTTGGCTTCGCGAGGAAATTATTTAACCTTTCCCTCGGGACCTCGCTCTCCCCGGGACTTATTGCCCGTTCTTCGGGGCTTTTGCACCGACCCACGCAGCGCCGCCAATTTCTACGGAGATGCCTGTGCGGAACGATTCCGGCGCGAGACGTATTTCATCGAATCGATGTCGAATGCGTCGAGATTAACGATATTTTGCCGGTACTTTCGCGAGACGAGAACCTGATAACTCGTCGGGACGTTGTTGCTCCAATATTTCACTAGAAAATGGATCGCTATAATTCCTCTTTTCTTCGCGAGAACCGATTCGAATCGAGAGCCTGCGCCACCGAAACCTAATCGTCGAAGACGAATTCGCGGATAAAGAGTTCTTGGCGCAAAAGACCTTCGAAGCGGCTTCGAGCGGCCGAAAGGAGCAAGGCAAAGTCGAGCATCGAATATCGACGAAGTAAAATTGTGCGGTCGAACGTTAAATATCTATAAAAGCTGCCCGGTAATCCGAAGCGAATTAAATATTGAGAGCACTCGTTACGCGTTCTTCCGGAATTCCGCGAAGACTATCGTGTTCATCCTACGTTAGGTTCACCCATAAATAACTACCTTACTCGTCCCTCGCGAGTTCGCTCTTCGCCGAGATAATTTATTACCGACGCTGATCTTCCGCGGCGCTCTCGATTTATCTCTAACCATCTGCTTACGTGCTTTCGTTTATTCATCGCTATCGGGTTGGCACGCTCGCTTTCGGAAAATATATTTTTTTTTCGCGTTGATCGGGGACATCGATCGGTCGGTTTGTCGGCAGAATCTCGTCGCGTCGACGTTTCGGGCAGTCTCGACGGTCGTTCGGATCGTGAGAAACGACGGAGAAATTCTCGGAACTTTTGGAAACGAAGAAGATAATTGAACGAACGCTGGACCAACGCAACCCCCGTTCGCGCGGTCGGATATTTTTGCAGCATCCCCGGCGCGAGGACCGCCGTTAAAATAAATATTAAGCGGCCGAATTCGTCGGAGCGCGGAATACGCGACGATTCGGAATACGCGGGGCCGCGAAATTCGGACGGAGAAATTCGAGCCAGCGCAGGTTCCGTTGAATATTTAAACGCGAGTGCCTCGCGCGATACTTGATTCGATCAATCTCGAATCTAAAATACCAGAAAATTGGGCTTGCAATTTTTCAACGTCGCCGCATCGATATATACGAGGACTTTTAAATATCGAACCTACGAATTTCATCGCGCAAAGGTTGGGCGGCTTCGACGATTGGTCTTCGACGGTCGTTTCGGACAATTTCGATGTAGCAACGATCGAGGAACAAATTATACGGTGCAAGATTCATCGTGAAAATTCCTGCTTCGAGAATACGCGTCCCGTAGGAGGATCTTCCGAGAAGCTCTCCTCTTAAACTTCGAATAAAAATATGCGCATAAATTGTCCGCGACCGCGGCAGCAGCCATTTTCCCTACCGGGGTGCTTCGTCTTCGACAGCTCCGCTCGTTCGGAACTTGTAGTTAGAATGGCAAATTAAAACTCCCACGAAACTGGTCGAGCGAAATTCGTTTTGGGAAATATATTCTCCGAAGGCGTTGCTATCGCGGTGGAACGGCGAACGTTATTTTCATTCGAGAAACGGAGATTTTCCGCCGCGAGAGGATTACATCGGTACGAACGATTTAATATTGTTCTTGCAAATCGAACGCGAACGTATGAATCGTACACGCGTGTCCGTTCGCCGTGCTCGATATTTTCCCGGTTCGATGCTCTTTCCTTTTAATAATTGCGCGATGTTATCGCGCAGTGTCTCCGAGCTGTTTCTCTATCGGTTTTCCCTCTACCAAACGTCGTCTCCGAATCGGACGATGTTCCGCGCGTATCGTCTCGGTACGCGAAAAGTCTCGAAAACTAGCCATCGTCGACGGTTCGTTTTTGCCCCGTTCCCGTTCGAAGCTGTCGAGCCACGTGGGTTCGAACCGACGCCCGATCCCGTCTTTATTACCGATCGTCGCGCGGGAAAGAAAAATCCTGGTCCAGCGTCGCGAACGAGAGCGAGAGGGGCAGGGAGACGAGGAGAGTCGCGAGTCGTTAACGAGGAACGTCGAAGACGAGCGCTCGCGGCGAAGTACTCCCGGAATGAAGCTGTCGGACACGCGAAATGACGCGACGTTGATTTATGAAAGGTTTACAGGTCGGGCGGCGGCCGACCGTGCACCCTGCAAGGTCGTAAATCCTTCGGCGAGCGGGAAGATCCCGGCGCGGCGGGTCCGGTTGCACGAGAGACCGCGGACGCGGGCCGGGAGGGACCGGAAGGTGGCCGGAAGGTGGCCAAAACGCCGCCTCGACGGAAATTAACCGCGAAAATTCCGCGGTCGCGATGCGACGCACGTGCCGACGTCGTAAATTTACGAGGCGGGATCGCACCCTCTGTCGAGAACCGCGTTCGCCCTCTGTTCCACGGTCCGCGACTTTTCCAACGCCCCTCGCGTTCGAGTAGCTCGGCCACCCGAGAACACATTTTTACGAGTATTTTTTCGCACTCGGACCATCTCCTGGATATTCGATCGTCGAGACTTCTTCGTATCGTTGGACGGATTCGGTCGCAGTTTTACGCGCACGGATAAGAATTTAAAGGGCACGATTCTCGCAGGAATCCGTTCCGCGCGAGTTTTTTGCGCGCGAGGGTCGTTTCCGAAAGACGTCGCGTCGCTCGGAAACCGTGTTGTATTCGGCCGCGAAAAAATTGAGAGCGCGGCGCGAGACGGGGCCAACGATCGTGCCAAGTTTCGTTTCGATAGCTCCGGCAGTTTCCCGGCAAAAAATCTTCGAAGAACGATCGCGTTTCGGCTGTCCCGAACGGCGAAGCTGTATCTTCTTGCCCCTTTGTTTCGAGGAAAGCGGCGGAGCATTCGATCGCGGGTTCGCGAAACGGCGTCTTCGCGATAATTCAACCTCGACGAAATTTTGCATCTTCCTTCTGAAGCGTCGTCTAAAAAACCGTACGATCGGACGAGTCTCGAACGGATCCTCGAGCGATCCGAACGAAACGAGACGCGCCTCCCACGCGCGCCTCGTCGCGTTCGACGATCGAACACCCGTCGAAATCTTCGAGTTCGAGTTGGCCGTATAGGCTGCCTATTTAAACGTGCATGTATACGTACACGACGCGCGAGATCGACGGAGACTAAGGGTGGAGAGTTTCTAAGGTGGCGACGCGTTCGATGCTCGAAGCAACCGCGCAGCATCCGCAAACATCGAAAACCTTCTCGCTAAGATCATGCTTCGGGGCCGGGGCAGAATTTCAACCGCGGCGAAACTCTCGTTCTACCGAGCGTCTACGGTTTCGACGCGTTCGCTGCAACGCGCTGCGACGCGCGGGCTTTGCGCGGTCTTTCTACGAATCTAAAATGGAATTTCTAATCGTTCGAACGATTCCTCTTACCGTGGGAAAAATCTTCGTTTCGCGTAAAAATGTACGAGAATCTTGTTCCGTGTAAAAACTGTCGAAGACGCTTGGAAAACGTTGGAGACCGTATCGAGAAATTGGCCGTCGGATTTTGAATTTTGCTCGTTTCACGATGAAACTCGGAGAAATTAATGTTCTGTTCGTTAATCTTCGTTCCGGTTTGACGCGAGTTTTTTTCTCCCTCCGCGTGGAACGTCTATTCGTCCGACCGCGTCGCGTCGCGTCGCGTCGCGTCGCGTCGCGTCGCCCGGGGCATCGAAATCGCGATGAAATTCATTCGGCAAAGCCGTTCGCTCGCGGAGAGGGTTGGTTCGGGTGCTCGGGGGGCGTGTCGTCGAACGCTCGAGACCCGGAATTCCAGCAGGGACTACTTCCGCTCGGGTTTTCGTCAAAAGCGAGCGTCGGCCCTCGCGAGAACCGGACCATGGGAATGTCGGGGGTACACGGGGCTGGTTCGGGGGTCGGATCGGAGGCCGGTGCGGTACGGGCGAAGCCGAGGACGGTCTCGATTAACTCGCTGGCAGAACTAATTCCGGCGAGGGTGAATCCGACGTCTGGATGTAGGGGCGCGGAGACGGGGGTGGTCGAGGTTGAATTCGCAGCAACTCTAAACTAGCTAAAGAACACTTTCTAAAATACTCGCCTGGTCCGCGGAGTGCTCACCAATTTCAATCTTTGTTTCGAGCTGGAAACTTGCGGGATCCTCGCGATAATGGAGGAGGACGGGGAGTTGGAACGCGGAACAACTTCCGACGGTAGTAATCTCCATTCTGGTGCCGCGTCGCGTCGCGTCGCATCGAGTCGCTTCGCGTTATCGTTTATCAACGATACCGACCGCGCGCGTCGGTGATCGGCGGTCCTCCATCGGAGGATCTTCGTATTTAACCCCTTCGCTGCCCGGAAGAGCACGATTCGATCGACGAACCGATTTCTTCGCTGGAACTACCGTATCGCGCGACGATCGCTTCTCCTTTCGAAAGAAGCGCGATTCCGGTCCCGAATCGATTGCAACGAAGGCAAACGCGGAACAACGTATCGACGTACTTTCGTCTCGAATCTACAAGTCGCCGAAGCTAGGTGTATCGCGGCTGCTTTCGAAGCACGATATCCGTGCGATTTAGCGAAACAAGGTGGCAGTCTGCGCATCTCGTCGCGATCGAAATCACGAGTCCAGTTCCCGGTAGTACGGTAGCTCCAGCATCGACGACGTTCGCGAACCCTCGCGAGTTCTCAGCGAGACTAAATTTTGTACACAGAGCGGGGACGAGTGATCTACGAGTCGGCTGGAACATTCGACTAAAACATGCTTGCAAAATTCATCGTGCTGGGAGAAATCGATGGCTATCGAGTAATTGGGTAGCAGTGGGGGGGGGGGGAGTGTTTCGTATCGGTCGCATTCGCGCGGCAAACGTGTAAACCATGAAACGTGGGGTGGTGAACATCGAACAGCGAAAGGGTTAGCTATCGTTCAAGAATCTATCGATCGTTCTCGTGCCGAGAGAGTTGTTCTTCGTCGATCCAATATCGCGAGTCTCTACGGAAGCAAAAATCCTCCCCCGGCGAAACGGCACGGGGAACACACTCTGTAAACGTACTGGAAAACCAAACGCTACGGGAGAGGTTGTTCGCATGCGGATAATTACACCGTGAGGGAGAAAAACGAGGCGTCGCACACTCGAGGGAGGAAAGCGAGAAAAGAAAGGGGAATCGGAAAAGATGATCGACGAAACGAACGTTCTCGCGCGGTCGCCGAGTCTAAGAATCGTGTTTCCTCGCGCGAAGCAGCAGGTGGAACGGAGGATGGGACACCATAGAACTACGGAAGGGACGAAACGCGTAGTCTCCGACGATCGGTGAGCACTCCTGACCGGCGCGTCGCGGCGTCCAAACGAAAAACCAGGAGAATAGGGGCGGGGGAAAGAGAGAGAGAGAGAGAGAGAGAGAGAGAGAGAGAGAGAGAGAAGTCAAACGGGTGGGTGGGGGCTTGATACGTGAGAGCAGAGAGAAAAAACCAAAGAAGTAACAGACAAACAACGGGCGAAGAAACGTTCACGGGCGGACCCTTAAAATTCGTACCTCCAGGGCGGGCGCTTTAGCCTGAAACACAAACGGCAAACCTGAAAAGAAGTTTGTGGGCCAGGAGGCGGGGGGTCGGTGTTTCGCGACGCGTCGACGGGCTTTTCTGTCCCCCGCTTTACCGGAACGGATCCCGGACGATCGGGGCGAGCGAAACGATGATCGATGAGAGACGAGACGAATGGAGAAATTAGGCGACAAGATGCAACAAGATGCCGCGACTCGTGACGCGGTCGAGCGCCGCGTTTCATCTGTAAGGTCGAGGGACGTTTCTCGGCACGATTCGTTCGTTCGAATTTCTAGAAAAGACCAAGATCGTCGTTCGAAGGAAACGAGCCGTCTCCCTCGTGGCAGAAATTTCCAAAAAAGATTTCTTTCGATCTACCGCGTGCAAACTTCGGTCTTCCCAGGGTCGACTCGCGACTGTTTCGTTAACGATCGATGCGCCCGGACGAGGATGGCTTTCCTCGTAGCGAGACGAAAAACGTCCCTTGTTGAAAGGGTGCACGGTTCGAGGATAAATCGATCGCGGTGCTCCGCTTCGACTCGTTCGATCGCTTTTCGAACGCTGTTTTCCAAAGAATTACGCGATTTGCTAGAAATTGCAAAATTCTTGGATACGTATCGATAATGCGAACGCGTCAACGAAGGCAGCGAGAACTCGAAAAAGTGGGCTCGTTCGCCGCGAGAGCGAACGAACCGCGATCGTTCGCGAACTGTGACACTCTCTTCTCCTCTCCCCATCTCCCTCCCCCTTGCCGATGAAACGAAAAAAAGCGCGAGTTCGCAGCAAAGCCTGAAATTCGTTCGGGGGTGAACACATTTTTTTCCCGGGCATTTCATTCGCCGTCGGGATTTTCGTAACTGTGCGTTGCGAGAGAGAGAGAGAGAGAGAGAGAGAGAGAGAGAGAGAGAGAGAGAGAGAGAGAGAGAGAGAGAGAGAGAGGGGGGGAGAGAGAAAGGGAGGATGTTGGACGAGGACGCAGAGTTTGCAAAATGAACGCGTTGCGCGAAATTAATTTTCATTCCGCTCGGCGGTACCGAGCGCGCTGCCGCGAAACGATCTGTCGGAGCAAGCCCGAAAATGATAGCTGTCGTTGCCCGTTTCCTGCGACTGTATTTTTCCGATTTTTCGTCCGTCCCTCGGCCGCTTTTATCGGGGCTGTCTCACTTAACTTTGTCACCCGAAATATTTGATTGTCCACGCTTCGCCGTGCCGGCGACGACAGGACAATGTTATTCCCGCGCGAACCCCGGAGCTGTTTGCTCTCGCTGCGGAATACCCTCGAGGAGATATTCCTGGCAACAGAGTTTAGTGAAACGACCCGGATACAGGGTGATCCAAGAGTCGTTTCGCGACATCAAAGGTTTCGTCGCGTTCCCCTGGCACGCTCGAAAATATTCCACGACCGTTGTTTCTACGAGAACCGTCTTTCTTTCGGCGAAGCAACGTTTTCAATTTACAATTTACGGCTCACGGTTCACGGTGTGGATTTCCGCGCAAAATTCGAATTTAGATCATCTTTTTCTACGATTTTAGAGACGAGGGTTACTTCGACGCGTCCGTTCAGCCTTCGACAACTTTTCCACGTTCCGTTTTATCGAGCAAGAAATCGCCCCCACAACGATGCGATCGTTGGAACACCCTGAACAAATTCTCGAACGGCTTTTCCATTTTTCGCGCGAACAAGAATATCTCGCTCGAATCTCGAGGACAAGAGAAGAGAAGAGAAGAGAAGAGAAGAGACGAGAAGCGAAGAGCAGAGAGACAGAAATGGAAAGATAGCGGGTGAAAGATAGCAGCCGGAAAAAACGGGCGAGAGAGGCCGATGTAGAGGTAGATGAAAGAACGCGGAGAACGAGATAGGAACGGCGTAATTGTTATCGGTTTCGCTGCGTTTCCACGTGTGTGCAAGCCTGGCAAAACGTGTCAACTAACGTCAGCTGTTGCTTGAGGCCATTCCAGCTAAACGGGTCCGGAACAATTGCAGAACTTCGGTCAATATTTCCGTGCCTTCTTTCCTCTCTGTTCTAGTTTTCCTTCTTTTTTTCTTATTCTTTTTCTACTTTTCTTTTATCTTTCGTGTTTCGCGTTCGTCGAAACGCGCTCTGTTCCCGGGCCGATCGGCGAGAGTCCGCGCCTCGATTCCGCGCATCGATCCTCGGTCCCCGGCATTTAACCGACAACAATGAACTTTCTGTTTCGAGTATCTCGATCGCGTTTCCTCGAGGACCGTTTCCGTTCCGCGCGGATCGTTTCGACGGAAACACCCGACTTTCGTTCTCTCCTCGCAGAGAGGAGAGAATCGTGAAATTCCACGACGACGAAAAAATATGGAATCGAGCCTGTCGGTCGCTCGGAACTCGAATAATCCGTTTCGTTCCCCGATTCGATTTCGCGACGTTCCGACCGAAACCCGAGGCAGAAAATTCGAGGCCGACTTGATTTTTCGAGGCGCCGGTTGTAATTTTCTTTAACGAGATCGATGGAGATCGACGCGCGGGCTCGTTTGTCAATTAATTTCCAATAATCTATCGGCGGCGTCGTCCGAAAGGTGATCGATTAACCGCGCTGACGTTTCAATCGAGCCCGAGGCGTTGCTCGATTTAATTAAAAACTCATTCGTCGGCGCTCGCCGACGAACTGCCGACGAACCGCCGACGTACCGCCGGAAACAGAGCGCGAGCGACAATTTCCGTCGGAAAATCGGCGCGAATCGTTGCCTGTGCCTCACCTGCAGCCTGTAGTTCGGATCCTGTGTCGCCGCGTGTGCTGCTAGGAATGGGTCGTAATAGACACTGCAAAAGACAAAATCACACAAGTTAGCATCGCTCCGGTAAACTCTCTCGAGATGCCTGGCACACCGAATGCGGTTTCATCCGCGGGCGATCTCGATCTCGATCTTGATCTCGCGTCGTTGCTCGCTGCGGACATTCGAGTTACACCGGCAGAGATGTACAGGGTGTCCCAAAAATGTCCCGCAATTCGGAAGCGGGGGGATTGCCGAGGTCGTTCGAAGTAATTTTTTCCTTAGCGAAAATGCAATCAGCCGCTTCGTTTACGAGTTATCAACGAAAAACCCTGACCGATAAAAGACGTGCTCGATCGATAAAAGACGAAGCGGCCGAGCCAACGAGCGCGCGAAGCCCGGTTCCGCCCATTGACTCGGCCGTCGCGCGTCAACCGATCTCGCCTCCGATTGGTCGTTGTTTTTCGTTGATAACTCGTAAACGAAGCCGCGGATTGCATTTTCGCCAAGGAAAAAGTTGCTTCGAATGTCCCGAGGAACCCCCCATTTCCGGATCGCGAGACATTTTTGGGACACCCTGTATTTGCAGCTTCGAAGAGAAACTGCTATTTTGAAACACGGGTGCGCCATTCTTCCGGAAGAGACCCGACAACGGATCGTTCGGATCGAATCGAATCGAACCGACTCGAATGTCCGCGTTTGCGAGCGTCTATCGAGCTTTACGCTCTTATTTCCGGCAGCCATGTTTGCTCGATAATTTCGCTGGGATTGGGAGCTCGATCGACGGAAGGGAGTACCACGTTTCCCATTTTTCCGCGGAATTGGAAAGTCGCGCAACGATCGAATCGAGATTTCGGGCATCGGTAAAGTCGAGCAACGGCCGCCGAGCCGGCCGTTCGCTGTACCCACTTACTGTATCGAGACCGGGTATTCGCGACGGAGCTCGAACTTCGACCTCCGCGTCTTACGTCCTCTCGTTTCGCCGACGATCGAATCTCGATCTCGGATTCGACGATCGACGATACGGTTCCGAAAAACTCCGTCGAGCCGTGCCGTATCTCGGGAGAATATTGTTCTCTCGAATCGGCGAACGTTCGCTCCGTTGCGACGGAAATATCGTATGTAACGTCGAGGAAACGCGACTCGGAAACTCGGAAATACTATCCCGTTTGCTCGTTCAACGTCGAGCCTTTAAATCCTTGCACGTTTTTTTTCTTCGAAATCGCAAGGCCGACGTTGAACGGCAATTTCTCCGTCGTCGAACGAGAATTTATCTCGTCGATGGTTCGTCGTCGTACGGTTATCTTATGGGAAATTCCAACGTTTCTTCGGAACGCGACCGTGGATTTTCGGTGCAGCGAATGAAATAAAAACGCGTTTAGAGCTCCGCCGGTCCCTCGGACGGACGCGAACTTCCTCGTCCATCACGGTCGGCCGTCGTTGACTCGATTCGTCGCTCGTTATCGACGCTTTCCAGCAAAGTCAACAAAAATTCATAAATCACGGTCGACGCGTGGGATCCTTCTTTCGAAAGCGCGTCACGGTGACCGGTGAACCACGATCGACGACGATTCTCAATGGGAAACGAACGGTCCGAACGCGTCGCTTGTCACCGCGAATCGTGCTGCTACCTGCACCGACACACGCCCTTCGTTCGCAAAAAGTTAAACATCCCGTTACATGGTTTATCCCTTTCGGAGCCGTTCGATCCGTATCGGGATCGTTCGATCCTACCGTCCGCCAATTTCGATCGAAATCCCAACGTATAATATTTCCAAACCGACCGCGCATCGTCGCCGGGTCTCGGCGACTCTGCCGAATCAATTCATCGGTATCGACGGACGCGAAGTCAACGAATATCCCGTGTTCGCAATTACCTATTCGTAAGAAAGCTAATCGCAAATTGAAAGAGGAATCGCGACGTTTTACTTGCGATTCTTCGGCAAAGATGTCTCTGACCGCAAAATTCGAAATTAAAAGTCGCGAATCTGACGCGTTTCTAACCAACGACCAAACCTAAGCGAGTTCCTCGGAATTGCGATTCTCCGTGATTCACCGGTCGCGATATTCGCGATTTCGCGATTGGGACCAGCGAGCGGGACTGGCAATTACGTTTGTTCTCTCTGGGCAAGAGGAAAAGAGAGAGGGAAGAGAGAGAGAGAGAGAGAGAGAGAGAGAGAGAGAGAGAGAAAGTGCTCGTGCCTGTTCGGATGCAGAAAGTACAAAGGCTAGAATCGGTGCATGCGGGTCGCGGGTGCAGTGGTTTGGACAGGCGAGCTGGTTCTCTAACGAGCCGAGGCACGAAGCACGCGGCGGGTTACTCGACGCGTGCTGGGTCTCGATTTCGACGACGTCGGATCGTTCCGGAGCCTCCCTCTGCTGACAAATTCACCGAATTTTTAAGTACGTCGCGCGGATCTGAAAGCGAGGAGCAAGAAGTGCGAATTTCTCGCGCGAATCGCCGATCGAGCGTCGTTCCTGGAACTGCGAGAGATTCGAGGTTAGCCGACTCAACGTTCGAGGTTAGCCGACGAATATCGCGAACTCCTCGAGGATTCGAGGTCGGTTTATTTCTATTTCACGCGCGCTAAATATTTTCAGAAGTCTCGACCAACGTTCCACCGCGAATTCCACGAACAGGGTTGTACAAGCGAAACCCTTTGTCGGGGAAGTCGCTTTTCTTGGCTCGGACACGAAAGCGGTACGAGTTTTCGATCCCAGCGCAGCGTCGAGCCACCCGTGCGCGCGCCCCCTCGGGCCCGATCGAGCGTCGGACGACCCTTCGCAGAGCCGATCGTCGGGGCGGTTTACTTACGCAGGTGCGAAGGGATGCAGGGCCGTGGCCGCAGCCGCGGCTGCGAGTGGCCCCGGGTTCCTGGCGAGGGCCAGCGCGGCAGCGCTCGTCGGGAAAGCCGCCCTCGCGGCGCTCACTCTGCCTCTCTGGATGGCGACTCCTCTCAGCGCAGCGGCTGCAACAACACACAGAAACGCACATGCCAATGCGGGCCTACCTTTTCCTAGCGAGCGGTCGGCGGTCCCTGGTCCAACGTCGTTTCGCTGGTCCGGCAGCTGCGGCTTTTCCGAGACTAAGTTCTTTGGAAATCGTCGGCGACGGCGACGAGACGGGACGAGAAGGGAAGAGAAGAGAACCGTTCCGTCCAACCGCGATCCTCGACGCGCTCGAATTGGACGATATCGAGAGGTAAAAGCAACCTGGACGAACGCGGTGGCGCTCGCCCACGGTTCGACTCGTCGGAGGATCTTTTTGCAACCGTCGCACCGTTCGCGTTTCTTTTAACTCGAAACTCGAATTGTGTCGCGATGGGAAAAAGTTTTACCGATTATCTGGTCGAACGCGTTTCGACCGGATCGTTCCCATCGAATGGAAAGAAAATTTCGATCGCGTGTAACATTTCGGTTTCAGGAAGCCATCCGCGCGCGAGTGCTTTCCAGCTTCGAAAATTCGACGAGAAGAAGTTCGAGAGGAATCGTTCGAAAGAGCTTCGACGAGCTGCTTCGGCCTGGCCCATGTCCGACCGAGCGATAGAAAGCGGACCGTGCCGAGAAACGGGTAGAGCGATTCGCGCGTTCGTTGGCGCGAACGCGCGCAACGATGCCCAGCGAGAGGATAAATCGCGGAACGCGCTCGACGAGTCCGTCGACGGGGACTCGTATTCGGGGGGCTTTGCTCTGAAAGCTCCGAGGTCGATCATGAAGCCCTCGGGGTCCCTCGAACGGTCCGCGATGCCCGCGAAAACCTGGAGCGTTAGGTTCGACCCGCACGCGGAGCAGAGCACGGTTCCAGGACCCGAAACGAGTCCCGAAAGTCGTTCGCGTAGCTTTCGGAATATTTGTCGGTCGTACGTGTGCAAGCTGATTCTTTGCATTGTTTGCGGCTTGGGGCTACCGTGCGCGTTGGTGTATTCGAGCGTCGCGTTTTACCATTCCGACGACCACGGTAGGGGGATGAAAAATTTATCGATCTAACGATCTCGTCGACGGATCGTGAATTTTTCCGCGGAACCGGGACTCAAGATGGAGCGGGTGTCGAAGACGACGAGAGAGAGAGAGAGAGAGAGAGAGAGAGAGAGAGAAAGGGAGAAAGAAGACGATTCGACCGGATCGACGAGAGTTCGCGAACTCGGTCGCCCTTCTGGAAAAGTCTGCGAAGAGAAAGTTCTCGAGTTCCAGGCGTATCGAAATTGCAGTTTCAATTCCAACTTCGTTGGAGGTCGCTCCATCGAGGGTTGCCTCGTCCAGGATACGAATCTGCTCGTGTTCGTAGATTAAGAAAGAGAGGGAGAAAAAGGAAGACTGTATTAGGGAATGGTTTCTCGAGAACGCGGTTCTGCTGCCCGTAGATTTAGAGAGAGAAAGAGAGAGAGGAAGATTAATGACAGGGATGGCTCTCCGAGGAAGCGGATCTGCTGCCTGCGCGGCGCGAGAAGGAAGGAACGCGAGAGTGGGGTTCGTCGAAACGAGACTGGTCTTTGGATAAGAGAAGCCAGACGCTGAAACCCGAGGAAACGATTCTGGATTATCTCGGACAGTCGTCGCGACACTCGTGGACCACTTTAAAGAGCTTCCGATGTTTTCGATCGAGGGGAAACTGGTCCTTGGAACGCGAAGAAGCGGTCGTCGAAGCGAAAGGAGCCGAACCAGAAGAGGGCGAAGGAAGCTGCGAAAACGTGTTCCGAGCAGGTTCGCGGAGACGACGTTCTACGGGCATGTTCTACGATCGCCGAACGGCGCGCCGAAGCGGTTTCGGAAGAACGAGAAGACCGAGAAGACCGAGACGGAAGAGGAGAAAGAAGACGAGGCTGGGTCGAAAGGTAGCGATCGATCGACGATCGAGTTGTCGCCGAACGGTCGCGAGCTTCTCGAGTCAGGGTCCGTCGACGAAAGGGGAGCTTTCCAGCAGTCCTTCGAGGTATCTCGTCCCGCGGTGATCGTTCGAGCAACGATCAGGCGAAGATCGGCCTGCTCGGACGCGGCCGAAGCTGGAGAACGTCCCGAGGACGTCTCGAGAACCGCCCGGTTCGTGTCCCGATCGATCCGGTCGGTCCGATCGTTCCCGGTTCGAGCAATAAAAACTGATGATTTTTCTGCCTACCTTTTATCCTCGATCGATTTTCACTGGATCGAGCGCGGATCCGCGTCCGTCTCGAAGAGATCGAGGAACCTTCGGCGTTCTCCGGTGTTTTGCGCCGGGAAGGACCGCCCCGGGGTTCCTCCGAGTCAAAGACAAAGCGGTCTCGTTGCTGTGCAAAATGCTGTACTGTGCAAAATACTGTACTGTGCAAAATACTGTGCGGCCGATTCTGCGAAACGCGCAGGACGAGAAGAAGATCGAGTCGAAGTTTCTCGTTGAAATCTCTTCGAGGCGTGGACGACCCGCTGGCGATTAGTCACGGCACGGAAGAAACATACTCTGTGGTGTTAGGCTGGAGAGAAAGAAAGAGAGAGAGAGAGAGAGAGAGAGAGAGAGAAAGAAAGAAAGAGAAAGAGAGAGAGATAGAGAACTGGGTACAACGAGCAACGGTAACAACAACAATCAGCAACAACAACGGATGGGGTAAGAAACAGTTAACTACCGTGCAAAGTGGTCGCACGTGGGTGTGTTAGGCCGCGGACGTTAACGGTCCTCCTCGTAGCGACCAGCCGGTTTCCGGTGCGAAAAAGAACAAGACTAACAGCGTGATGCATTTGTAGCAGGCACATTCCAAACTCGTGGCTCGATCCGTGGTCCGAGGCTTTCAAATATTTCGGAACTTCCGTTTGTTCGAAACTTCGAGAACAACTGGCAGAGAAACGAGACGCGCTCGAATCTAATTTCCCTATTTTCGGCACGTCGACGAGCAGCTATTTGCGCGATTTTCAGCCGAAAAGGAAGCGAAATGGAATCTGGGATATAATTTTGAGTTACGTTTCGACCGGTCGAGGGTGAAATTCTAATGTTTCGCGCGACGACGACGATAACGGCAACGAACGCGGTTTCACGATGAACAGGACACATGCGGTGTCGAAACGAACCTGATCCGAAACACGGGACACGAAACGCGTCCGCCTTTCATCGAGTTCCGCTAGCCTCGCGCGCCCCCAATTAACGATAATTAATCGATCGACCCGCGCATGGAATTCGGCCGTACGGAAATCGTCGGAGACCGTTCGACGATGGGAACGCGCGAGAATCGTTTATCATCGCGGTACGTATCGAGATCCGCGAACACGCTTTTCTCGCGAACGCTGTTTTTGAAAATCGAGCGCCTCGTTCGCGATTCGATTCGCGACCACCTCTTGTCCTCCGATACCCGACGGATTGCAAAGATATTCGATTTAACGATTGTCAACATTTGAATAGCTAGCCTTCGGCCACGGATCGTCGCGCGAACGCCGCCCCGAACGGCGTGCCGGGATCGCTGGTTACGCGAAAAAGGAGAAACATCGATAATGCGTAGCCCAGAGAGAAGGGTGAGTGCGACGGGGGTGAGAGTGGTCGGCGGTCGGTGTTCTCGCTGGATGGTAGAAATACGACACAGGGTACACGTCGGAGAACGCGCGTGTAGAAAGCTGGAGAAACGCGGACGGTGAAAGGACGGCGACGGAGGGGGGTGGGGGGGGGGGAGAGAGAGAGAGAGAGAGAGAGAGAGAGAGAGAGAGAAACAGGAAAAGAATAAAAAAAAGTTGGTTGCTCGACGAGCCGGTGCAACGCAAGGATGCAACCGGGCGCCGGTCCGTTGTTTTTCCGTGTTCCCTTCCGGTAATCACCGTAGCGTCTCGTTTCGAGATCGAGGGGCTCCTTTCGTCGCTGCATGGGTCGCGATAGATCGCGGAGAGGAAAACGTGTTTCCATGGTCTGGGAAAATAGGGTCGAGCAAGAAGAAGAAGAAGAAGAAGAAGGCGGAGGGGGAAAAGATCGAGAGAGGCGATAGTGGAAGAGATACGCGGGGGTCTCCGCGAGAGATTGCCTCTTTAATCGCGGACACCGTGATTCCGTTGCCAAAAGCGTCTCGGACAGTTCACCGAACCGCGGCCAAATCGTTTCGCGAGATTCGCGAGACACCGGAGACTCGCGGTTCGCGTTCGACGTTTCGAAAGCGTTCGATCGAGCTCGCCAGAAATTCGTTCGAGTTTTCGTCGGTTTCCGCGACTCCGAGTAGTCCGAAGAGTGGGTAGAGAACCGGCTCGAACCTCTTTCAGAGGTTCGGTTCTTCTTCCTCGAGGCAATCTCTTAATTTCGACCGGCTCTCGACGGTCCGTGTGCCGAGAGAAGAAGCGTCTCCCCGTCTAGACTCGCGACTCGAGGAATTATCTTGGTCCGTGGCTCGCGGAAGCGGATCGATTCGTTCTCGCGCGATGCCGTAAAAATGGTGTCTCGGTATTTTGGATTTTTTTTTCGTCAGACTTTTCAAGGTCCGGCCAATCCGATCGAATCGAACGCGCGGCGCGGGTAACTCCGCGCGATTGGAAAAGAACGGACTCGGACGTGGAAGAGATTCCCGAGAGAACGTCTTCGTTGCAGGCGCTGGAGCCGTTCGACGTAAATTTCGAGAGGGCGAACGATTTTGGAAAAAACATCGGTCGACGTTTTCCGCGCGGAGAAGACGGTTCTCCGAGAAACGGAGAAACCCGGTCGAAGACACTGTTTTCTCTCGATACTCTCGAAAACTCGTACTCGAGCGTCTACGCCTACGATCTAGAGTCTACGGTCTACGGTCTACAGTCTACGGACTACAGACTACGGACTACGGACCGCTACGGTTCGTAGCGCGGGGAACGGTCGAAGGGGGTTGGCGAAGGACGGGGAACGGTATCGTGCTGGTTTCGTCGAGTCTCGCGTCGAGTTTCGGCTGGGATTACGAGTTACGACTTATGAGGAGTCTCTGTACCTTCGTNGGGAGAGAGAGAGAGAGAGAGAGAGAGAGAGAGAGAGAAACAGGAAAAGAATAAAAAAAAGTTGGTTGCTCGA